CAGTCACATGCTAATCCCTCACATTAACATCATGCTAATCTCCCAGTTACATGCTAATTTCTGACTTTTAACACCCTGCTGATCCAACACTTTAACACAGCTATTTCAATGCTCAATTCTCCTGTTTGATATGTAAACTCCTTTGTCAAGGCGCTGTACTTCTCCCACCTAGCTTAAAAGACGGCGAATCTTAGCAGCGTTCACTGAAGCGCTGTCGTCCCGACAGTTCTGTTCCTTCACCTGAAGAAGGCAACTTGTGTTGTGGCCGAAACGTCGTGAGAATTTGATTTTATTACGTTTAAATGTTTATTATTTTATTTCCATTCTACGTGACTTTACCGAAAGAACCAACAAGAGTATTATAGTGAACAAGGCACGCCTATTGATACTATATTATTGCACCGTGAATCGAGTCCTGTCGAGGGCAGAGTTGCGATGGATTGACGATTCCCAATTGAAAGCGCGACCTCCTGGCGGGCTGCAATTGTTGAGCTGCTGTAAACAGATTCATCGGAGTATCGGGGTACAATGAGGACGACAACAACAACGGCAGCAGCAAACAATGAGGCGAGATTGAGATGGCGTGGCGTGCCAAATCAATTCGTGGAACGGCACTCCGGAGCCATTCCGGCTGAGATTAAGCACTCCCTTAAGAGACGAGGCATTTGTTAAAAACTGGGCCACCTGGGTAAAGCAATTAAATCGTGTGCCCCCCCCCCACCCACCCGCCTCCACCACCACTACCGCAGTAGCCTTACGTAACCCCCCACCCCGCACCACTCCGACTGGGATCGTGTCAAAACGCCCGTGAAAATGACGTAAAATAATGGTGGATTATCCTCGTAGCTACACGTGTAGTAGCTACGGGCCCCGCACTTTCAAGGGCCCCGCGCTAAATGCTTTCAAGCTATCAATACCGGTTCAGTGATTCTGCACTTGCTCTATTACGATAGCACTATACCGCCTTCAACTTTTATGAACGACTGGGTGTTTAAGGTTAGCGATTTGTCATTATCTGGCTGTATAGCAAGTAAAAAAAAAATACAATTACTTTACTGTGCAAGTAAAACATTTGTGTTTTAATATTTTCATTTTTAATGTAAGGCCCATTTATAACATAGGCTACGGGCCCCGCACTAGCTTAATCCGGCACTCACCAAACCCCGAGATGTAAAACAAAAACAATTGATGATCTCGGCTTAAGAAGCAACAGAATGTTTGCAGGAAAAATCGGCACTGGCCTGACGGCCGGACGAAGTGTGCGATGCGCGTAATGTTCAAATATTTAGCGCGTGTATTGAAATTTGTGAGAGACGCTAAGGGCTTGACATTTAATGATCACTCGAATGAATCCCTGTGTGTGTGTATGGAGGAGCGGTAGTGTAGCGGGTCGCACGTTGCGCTACGAACCTGGCGACCCGGGTTCGATGCCCGCTCACGGCCAACACCAATGACGATTGTCTGAACCGGTCATGGGCATCGCCTAGGTCGACTCAGCCTCAAATGAGTACCTGGAGCGGTGTGTAAAAGCATCACCACTGGGGGAGACAAAGGCGGCTGGGCGTGGTGCCAGCCACGCAATTCCTCGTGTACCGTGCTGGCCTTCAAGGGTGCTCACTAACAACCCTTGCCCCAATAGTCTGTTAATGCTATACGGGGGATCTTTGGGATATATACAAAAGACAGTGTTTCTTCGGCCCCCGACAATACGCAACAATACGCAAATGTGAAAACACTCCCATCGTGCTATCCAACCTCAATGGTTTTAAACGTGTGGCGGCCCTCACACACACACTGATGAAAATTTGTGAAGAACACTGATATAATAATAGGGTTTTTTTCTGGCAACAAAACTGAAACCTTTGTACAAGGATTTATGTCTGCATTAACCACAATACCTGCAGTCAAAATGCAAACAAAAAACATACTATGATAATATATGCATTGTCCTTGAAACTGATTGGTCCACTGATATAGCCGGTCGTGGGTGACCTGATTTGAGTTCTGAATGTTCTAGAAGGGCCAGAGATAAGTGGAGGATGACCACTGCGAACCGAGTTTGATTCACAGTCTCGGCTAACACATCAGTGGCAAGTTATAGTGGAACCTGATCTCAGTATCTCTATCCACCAATCCGCACTGACCAGCGTGGTGAAGTATGGTTAGAAAAGCACCAACGACCGACCTTGCATGGGAGAGGCCATCATCAGGCAAGTGGACCGATGAAGCGTTCGAAAAGTATGAGGCCCAGGACCAGCTCAGACATCGCTTGCCACTCAGATATCACGAGCCGTGACCGGGAGTCAAACTCAGGTGGCTAGGTTCACAGCGCAACACATGAGCCGATGCAACGCCACCCAATTACGATTACGTAATTAAGTGTGGTTTGAAATTGAAATAGGTTTTACCCTTTTAACTGGCACAAAAACTGACACCTTTATTCAAGGCATCATGTTTGCAATAACCACAACACAAGCAGTCAAAATGCAAACAAAAGAGACAACTCTGATAATAATATTGGCACTGTCCTCGAATTTGATTGGTCCACACCCGAGACGGCTTTTCTTAGAGCCTAGTCTCCATTGGTGTTGGAACAGAAGACGCCAAAAGGTGTACAACTCAAAAACAGCGCACTATCAGAGTAATGAGGGCTCGGGGTGAGCATTTACATTATGAGACCTCCTTTTGCCAGCAACAAGATATTGAAATAGGTTTTACCCTTTTAATTGGCACAAAAACTGACACCTTTATTCAAGGCATCATGTTTGCAATAACCACAACACAGGCAGTCAAAATGCAAACAAAAGAGACAACTCTGATAATAATAATAGGGTAAAACCTATTTCAATATCTTGTTACTGGCAAAAGGAGAGGTCTCATAATATAAGTGTGGTTTGTTTAATCTATCTCACTGGCATTACAATGGTCAAGGAGGTAAATACGCAGCCCTGCAAATTCTCGCTCACTCCACTGCTGGCGGACTGGCCTCCACTAGAGGGAGCTCGAGGGTAATTGGCCTACTCTTCCATCGACTTCGGTGCGCATCTGTATTACCGCCGAGTTAATAAAATGGGGTTAACATGGGGTTTTGGGAAAAGTCGGGTTTCTGCTGTTGCTGACCAGTCTGCCTGCAATGCCGTAGATTATTTTTTTATTTACGTCAATGCGCTGTTGAAGCAGTTCTGGGTTCAGAATTGTGGCACATCGTGTGTTAAGCACTAACGTAACTCCCACCCACCTCCTCCCTATACATAGTGGATGGTTCCCGACTGATGTGGTGAGGTGTTAACTCCATCGCCTGGTATGCAGGAGGTCGTGGGTTCGATCCCGACCCTGACGCCTGCCGCTGTATTATTTGGGGTTGATTGTGTTGCCTCCGGGGTCGTGTGGACGTTTCTCCGGATCCTCCAGGAGTTTTTTTTCCCTCCACGTTTAGAATGGACGCGCGTTGAGAGAGTATTTTTCTGCGATAATTTTCCATGCGCTGGGCCACCACTTGTTGGAGCTCCCGTTTGCGACGGCCAGGTCGCTTCTGAAAAGGAGCCACGTAGCTCGGGGGCCGGGGGGGGGGCTTACCTGGTAAAACAGAACGTAGTTTTAGTTTAGTTTAATATTGGTCCGTCTGTAAGGCATGCAGAAGTGAAGCTGTGCATAAGTGGAGTCGGGTCTGCGTTTCATGCGCCTGACAAATAAAAAAATAGAATTTTCGACTGGGGACTTGCGTTAGAATCGTGGCATGGAGACGTTTTTAATATGAAGGTCTTGAAGGGTTTGAATCAATATATGAGATCATGTTTTCAAATACAAACAGTAAAACGGTTGAGTTTTACTAGCCCCCCCCCGTCCCCTGAGAAAAACCTCAATCAAATATTGGGTAAAAAATACAACCTCAATTTTTTGTTCATTTTTTTATATAATTTTAGATGTTTGACGGTGCTGGATACAAAGGATGAGATCGGAAAGTATTTTTCATTTAAAAGCCACAAATTGAAAATTGTTGGGCCCCCCACACGCGTGGGGTGGGAAGGGGGGGGGTGGGGCGGGGTAAAAAATAAAATCGCTTTTGAATTAAGGTCTACGAAAGTTTGCGCCTGAAGATTTTCAAGGATGCCCACAATCGAAACGTGACATTGGATTAACAAAGGCTCCCACAATTTTGGCTACGTCACGGTGAAAATCCGTTACCTGCAATGTTACGCCCCCCCCCCTCCCCCCCCCCCTTGCAAGTCAACGCTTCACTGCGGTTGGCATTTCAAGTTTGAGTCACGCAAACCCCCCCCCCCCCACTACCCCTCCCCACCCCCGTGATCCTCGGCAAAGGCACGGCCAAGCAAAAGCGGGGCAAAGTTACAGGCGAGGTCGGCGTTCGTCGAATTAACCACGAGCGGCCGGTCCCTCCGGTACGCTGGGATTCCGTCAATTTCTAACTTGCACGTGGAGGTCTTGCAACGCCTCGAACGGGGATGGTTTACGTTGCGGCAATCGCAAACGGCGTTCGCGCACGAACGCGCCCCCATTCAGGGCCCTCCCTTCCTTCGCAGACGAATAAAAGCAACGATTTACAAACCGTGTAACGAGCGCAGCGTTCCAAATCGTTAACGCGCATGAAGTCGGTCACAACGTGCGTTTATTGCTCGATAATTACAGCGAAGGTGCGAACGTGGCGATTGGGCGTCTGCGATCGCGTTCGAGTACATCATGGTGTCGGTGACGATCGCTGGTGACACTCGTCGTCCGTGCGCGGGGGTGTGCGTGCGTGTGCCAATCATCGGCAGTGTTGCAGTTAGCGCGGTGCACTACGAACACCGGTGGCACCAGTTCCGATTACCGCGCACGGCCAACACCCGTGGTGATTATCTGAACCGGTCCTAGGGTCTCCCCTAGGTCGACTCAGCTTCAAATGAGTAACCTGGTGCGGTGTGTAAACATCGCCACTAGGGAGACAAAGGCGGCCGGGCGTGGTGCTGGCCCACCCACCCCCCGGTGTGCCGTGCCGGCCTTAATAGGTGCTCGCTAACAGCACTTGCCACAACTCTGTTAAGGCTATACGGGGGGGGTGGGGAGGGGTCTTCGTCTTTGTGCGTGTCCGTGTGTGAACGCTCCTGCATGACAGCATGCTCGGGCTGCGTTGACCGGTATATTTGCATATCAAGAACGAGTGTGAAAACAAAACACAACGTTACGTATGCACGTTGGACTTCTTGAGCGCCGCACGTAACCACAACGGTGCTGATCGGAGGCGCGTGCGCTCGCAAAATGGATTTGAAAAATGAAAATTACCGAACACCCGTGTAATTATTTATATTTTTTGTACTGCATTGCCAATTTTAGCCCGATTGTGCTTTTGGGGGTTATATCCGGGGACAGCTCCTGAAATTCCATCAGGGGGCAGTACTTCCCCACCGCCCTGCAACAGAGAGTAAGGTTGGTTGCGTCACAACAAAACCGATGTATTATGTATTTAATTCTTAAGGGCTGGAAATGCAGACCAATTAAATGCAGAACAAACACGTGCTGGGTATTTTTTCGTTCTGCAGCCATTGGTGAATGGGCTAAGACGACCAACCAGTGGTGGCTGGAACCCTGGATTCGAACCCAGCACTGCAGCTGTGCCGGATGAGTTGCTCTGAGCTCCGAGTCGCCCGGCCGACTCATCGGAGGCTACATTTGGAATTCTTAGGGCAATTAGTTGAAGGCGGATCAGAACCAAATGATCAAACAACACAGTGACTAAAAGTAGGCTGCAGTGCAATAGGCAAACTGAATTTGGCAATGAAAATGAATCTGCCTCAAGAATCCACTGTTTAAATCGGTCCGCATTTTCAGCCATGACGTAGATTAAAAAAAAAAACACCGACTGTGACAAAAGAGGAATGGAACACGAGCTGAATCAAGTGCAAATCGCGGAGATGGTCGCTTGCAGTATCGAACGCAAATCAAGAGATATAGCATCGACCTGCCGAGGACAGCTGTGAGAGGCTGCCCACCGTGATGGCGGTGCGATCAGATCAGCTCCCCGAGCGGCAGCGAGATGAATCGCGGCAGCGCGGGAGCGCGAGAGGCACGCCGACTGTCATGGGGAGGGGCCTTCATCCAGCAGCGGACAGACATTGGCTCACGGTGATTAGGACGACGACGTTGATGACGACGTTGATGATGCCGATGATGATGTCGGCACGAACGCGGCTCGGAGAGCGCGGCAGTGCCAATTGGGTGCTTTAAACGTAAGACTGCGCGCGGGGGCACGGCTGCGGGATCTCCGCCGTCCACAGGCAACTCTGCCCACCACGGCATCCCATCGCCTCCGCGACACCTGCCACCGTGCGGGGGCCGAGAAAAGCGGCGTCAAAAGCCTCAGCGCCGAGACGAGCGGGCGCGGCGCAATATCCCCCCCCCCGAAACTAAGCGGCGGCCTCCCAGACATCGGAAATCAATGAGCATGCTCGGCGGACCTCCCGCTCGGGGGCCACCTGCGCGCGGAAACCGAAGTGCTCCTCCACTTTACATTTTTGGCCGTCGCGAGCCGACAAAACCTTTCGGCGCAAAAAAAGGAAAGCGGCGCCAAAGGTGGCGGGATTATCCGGCGTGCTGTCCATCACCCGGTAAGATCCCGGTGGGGGTTGGGGGGGGGGGGGGGGGGGGGGGTGCAGGGGGCGGTCGGTGGTCCGACTCGGTCGACCGCGGAGTCTCAGTCGGCCCAGTCCTCCTCCTCCTCACCGCCACCGCCGCCGCCGCCGGGGCTGCCGCTCCCCGCGACGGCCGGAGGGGGTGGGATGGCGTCGGCCATGCGGGCAAATGCCCCGGACGACGACGACCCCGCGGTCGCGGCGTCCCCGCCGCTCGCCTTGGAGCCCGAGATGCCTGCGCGGGGGGAGGGGGCGCGGGGGGGAGGGGGCGCGGGGGGAGGGGGAGGGGGGCAAAGGGCGGGCGAGTTCAGGGGGCGGTGGTGCGGGCGAGGGGGCCGACGGAGCCTCCTCCTCCTCCTCCTCCGCCCCGCTCGCTCGAACAACGGTCGAGCCCTGCAGGCACTGCGGGCGATGCGGTAACGCGCTCGGCTCGCTGTTGATCCGCTTCTGGATTGGGGGTCTCCCCACGCCGTGCGGGTCGTTTGGGGGGGGTCGGGGGGGGGGGGGGGGGGGGTGTTATCCGACCGTACTTCACGACCAGGCTGGTCGCTGCGTGTTGTGAAGGCGGGGGGGGGAGCGTAGTCGCGGTGGCCACTGAAGCACGCTACAACAATGGATGTCGCCGCGCGGCCCAACAAGAAGACCGTTCTAGGCGACGAGCGGCACAGGACCTCAGGGTGAGCACGGCGTGGAAGTGGTGCGGGGGGCAGACGGGGAGAGGGCCGAGTTCGTCGCAGGCCAACGGCCACGGTGCGCTCGGCGGTCAAGGGGGATCGTAAAGGGCACGACAAACGAGAGGAGATGGGGCACAAGTCGGGGGGGGGGGGGGGTGGGCTGGGGTGGGGGGCAGCAGGGAAGATAAGTGGGGATCACGGGAGGAGGGTGCGTAGGGAGGTGCGCACAGGAAAGGCTCGAGAGGAAGGGAATGACAAACAGAGGCGGCAGGCGTGAAGCAGCTGGAACGACCCAGGCCGAACACCGAACACCGAACACCGAACAACACCCGCAACGCTGCTATACGCTGGCCCGGGAGGAACGGTGTGCCCTCACGGTAAAGCGCACGATAGCGGGCTTACATGGCGCGCAATTTCAAAGCGCTTTACAATGGCGTCGCCCGAATCCCCCCCCCCTCCCCTCCCCCACCCACCCACCCACCCGAAAAAAACTAACCAAAATGGAGACAGTAGCATCACCGCCACGTTCTGTTCCCAATCTGCCACGCGAAAAGGCGCTTCGCCCTCCGCAAGGACTGGCACAAAAGGGGGTGGGGGTGGGTGTTCGATGGGGGGGGGGGGGGGGAATTGCGGGTGATCAGGGCTCGTGAATAAAGCATGAGGTGAGCGAGCGCGCTGGAAAGTTTCTGCCGTCACCGCCGTCACCGTAGGGGGAATAAGAAAGCGGCGAGCGGAGGCGACGGAGCGCGCCAAGTGCCCGTTATGTAAGCGCGCGGATTAGTCCGTAACGGCGTGGCGGAGTGCCGACGATAAAATTATAATGCGAGATTCAATTGGATTTTACAAAACGAGGAGGAGGAGGAGGTTATTTAGACGGGATTGCTATGCGCTCTGGGTGCCCCTATGCCGGCGGGTTGGTTCTCTCATTCCCCATCGCTCGCACCCCAAGCCCATGGCTCCGAACGACAAAATACGCTCGCGAAGAGGCGGCGAACGTACTACGTGCGTACGTACGTTGAAGTTCTTTGGCGCCCTACGTAGCCAGCCGCGCTAATCGAAGGTACGGGGGAAGCACAACAAACTAAACACAAAAAGCAGTTCGAAAGAAATGAGTTTTCAGTCTAGATTTAAAAGTGCACATCTCCCAGTGGCTTCCCAATATCGGGCGTGAAAGTGCAGGGAGTCAATTTAACGAGTGCGTTCATTTTCACACGCAGAGAGAAAGATCCCCCGTGTAGTCTTGACAGCCTTTTTTCGGGAAAGTGCTGTTTGCGAACGCCTATGAAGGTTGGCACGGCACACGACGGGGTGGGTGGCCAGCACTACTTCTGGCAACCTTTGCCTCCCCAGTGGCGATGTTTACACACGCCGCACCAGGTGCTCATTTGAGAGGGAGTTGACCTAGGGGAGGCCCATTTTCACAAACACATACTCTAAAAAGCAGTGGTCCCCAACCTTTTTGGCACCAGGGACCGGTTTCGTGGAAGACAATTTTTTTTTCATGGACCGGGGGGAGGAGGGGGGGGGTTCATCATTGGGTCTTTCCCCCTTTTCAAAGAAGCTCTCCAGCGACGTTTGTTTTTTTACTCATTGTGGATACTAAGGGGTCAGCTTGTGGGCTTACTCATTGTGGCTACTAGGGGTCAGCCTGTGGGCTTACTCATTGTGGCTACTAGGGGTTAGCCTGTGGGCTTACTCATTGTGGCCACTAGGGGTCAGCCTGTGGGCTTACTCATTGTGGCTACTAGGGGTTAGCCTGTGGGCTTACTCATTGTGGCTACTAGGGGTTAGCTTGTGGGCTTACTCATTGTGGCTACTAGGGGTCAGCCTGTGGGCTTACTCATTGTGGCTACTAGGGGTTAGCTTGTGGGCTTACTCATTGTGGCTACTAGGGGTTAGAGCTTGTGGGCTTACTCATTGTGGCTACTAGGGGTTAGAGCTTGTGGGCTTACTCATTGTGGATACTAGGGGTTAGCTTGTGGGCTTACTCATTGTGGCTACTAGGGGTCAGCCTGTGCGCTTACTCATTGTGGCTACTAGGGGTTAGCTTGTGGGCTTACTCATTGTGGCTACTAGGGGTCAGCCTGTGGGCTTACTCATTGTGGCTACTAGGGGTTAGCCTGTGGGCTTACTCATTGTGGATACTAGGGGTCAGCTTGTGGGCTTACTCATTGTGGCTACTAGGGGTTAGCCTGTGGGCTTACTCATTGTGGCTACTAGGGGTTAGCTTGTGGGCTTACTCATTGTGGATACTAGGGGTCAGCCTGTGGGCTTACTCATTGTGGCTACTAGGGGTCAGCCTGTAGGCTTACTCATTGTGGCTACTAGCGGTCAGCTTGTGGTGTTACCAAAGCTGTGACTGAGGCAAACGCGCAGTGCGGGAAAGAGGCGCGGATGGAAGTGGTAAATAATAAAATAATGGGCGGGTTCCACGCGCGGACTCACCGCTCTCACCTCCTGCTGTGCGGCCCGGTTCCTAACAGGCCACGGACCGGTACCGGTCCGCGGCCCGGGGGTTGGGGAGCCCTGCACTAAAGGCATGTTTCAAAATGTGGAGGAAAAAAAACAGAGGACCCGGAGAAAAATCCAAGCGAACACAGGGAGAAACATTCCAACACCAAATATACAGCAGGCGTCGGGGTCGAGATCGAACCCATGACCGCCTGTATACCAGGCGAGGTAGTTAACACTTCGCCACCGTTAACGCAGGGTGGCAGCCGCGATTGTAACGGCGCGCGAGTAGTCACCGGGGAATTGGGTTTTAAAACAAATAACGATCATCTCCGTGTTTCTAAATTGAGTCATGCACGGCAAATTTTGAGAAATCCCATTACGTTAATGTGTTCTCTTTCCGTAGCGTGGCCAATGTTTGTTCGTCGCGTTGGCGTTCGCGTCCTGAATTTTTGCTGCGACTTTCCGCGCAGGCTCAGGTTGAGTTAATCTGGACCCCTGTGAAGAAGAGCTTCGTGGGCCATACGGGGAGGAGGACTCGCGGCACAGTTTGGCGCCGGCTGTCATCGAGTTCGGTCGTGTCGCTACACTTCTCTGCGGTGAAGGACAACGTCTTCGGAAACGACGGTGCTGCCACTACACTACGCCTCTCAAAATAAAATTAACGCCTCTCAAAATATAATTAACGCTGCGGCGCACGCGCGTTCCGAGGTTCAGGAGGCGAACGGTGACACCGACACCCTGCGACTTGCAGACGTCTCGGAACGGGAAAGGGTGAATGGGGGCACGTTGGGACGTTTGTGATCGTTGCAGGCCGTCAGAGTTTGTCGCGGGCTTCTTCTTGCGGCAATTGGGCACGTCCGGCGCGGTATCAGAGTCAGAATCTTTACTCCGGCTGAGAGGCATCCGATGAGCTATGAGGCTCTTTTTTTTTTTCTTCCACAGATGATCAGTATGAGATCACATCACCCCGAAACTCCACTCCCGTCCACTGGCTCCCAATCCAATCTGGGATTAGGTTCAAGGTGGCACCACTCACAGTTCTCAGTATCCCCCCCCCTGGACTCACCCCCTGCATAACTCTCCCCTCTCACCTCACCCTACTCCCTTCCTCGCACTCTCCTACATCTCCCCTCTCATCTCGTATAATCACGATCCATCCCTCGCACCACGACATGTTGGGTTAGGGAAACGCAGCAGTTCACTCCAAAATGGCATTTTAAAATATCCGGGCATCACGGCACGACACGAAAAATCTATTTCGAATCTCTCGCAGGGCAGCACAATCCCCTTCGGGGCAGAGAACGGTCCACGGAAGCGGATACCAGAGAGCTGCCTCTGAAACCCCTTTCAACTTGACCTCTGGTCAACAGTTAGTCTTAATCATCGAACTTAATCATTGAACTTTTTTCGCTCCGTACGTAGCCATACGTGCTCATCGGGGGGTGCGGGTGTGCGAGAGCTGGACTCGATCCCATTTGAGCTCGGTATCAAATTTGGCGCGATGGATTTTTTGCGCACGCACTGGTCACCGGTCCCGGTCAATCGCCAACTCACTCGCGGCACTTGAGAACCCCGTTTAAGTACGGGCGGTGGGCTGAAGAAGCCCGGATTCGAATCCAGGGGGCCCACCCGTGCTGGCTCAGGGCTCTGCCCTCTGAGCCACCCGATCAGAAACACGGCGAGCCGCTTGCATTTGGCACCGTTTGCCGGCTGATTGGCTGGGGAGGAGGGTAACTCTCGCGTCGCTCGCCCGCTCACCCGCTCACCTTTACGACGCAATTGGAGCTTGTTAAAGAGGTCGGACATCAGGTCACCTCCTGCCGCCACGCCGGACGCTGCACACACACGCGGCAGGCACACGCACACACGGCCACACACAAACACAAAGATCCCCCCCGCAGAGCTTTTAACAGACTGCCGGGGCAAGTGCTGTCAGCGAGCACCTATGAAGGCCGGCACGGGACACGAAGGGGGTTGGTGGGCCAGCACCACTTCTGACCTCCTTTGCTTCCTGAGTGGCGATGTTTACACACCGCACCAGAGTCGACCTAGGGGAGGCCCAGGACTTGTTCCCCACAGACCCGATGGACACACAGACAGAGATAAAAGATCCCCCGTGTAACATTAACAGATTGTCGGGGCTGTTAGCGAGCACCTATGACAGACATGCACACACAAAAGTCGGTGAGCCCTGTGCAGTGGTCACCACTCGAATAAGGTGACTGCCAAATAACAGAGAGAGCCAGCAAGAGATACAGCGAGAGAGACAGCGAGAAAGACAGCGAGAGAGACAGCGAGAGAAATAGCGAGAGAGACAGCGAGAGAGACAGCGAGAGAGACAGCGAGGGATACAGCGAGACATACAGCGAGAGAGACAGCGAGAGAGACAGCACCAGATGCTTGCAGGTGGCCGGCACGGCACACGACCCTCATTTTGGCGATGGCACCCGCCACGCATGCAGTACCCAGAAACCTCCACCAACCGGCAGCAGCGGCCCGGCTTGGTGACAAACGGCTGTCTCTCTCCCGCTCTCTCTCTCGCTCTCTCTCTCGCCCTCTCTTGCGCTCGCTCTCTCGTCCGCTCTCTCCCGCTCTCTCTCGCTCTCTCTCTGTCGCTCTCTCTCTCTCGCTCTCTCACTCTCTTGCGCTCTCTCTCTCGTCCGCTCTCTCTCGCTCTCTCTCGCCCTCTCTTGCGCTTGCTCGCTCTCTCACTCTCTTGCGCTCTCTCTCTCGTCCGCTCTCTCCCGCTCTCGCTCTCTCTCTCTCTCTCGCTCTCTCTCTCTCTCTCGCTCTCTCACTCTCTCTCTCTCTCGCTCTCTCTCGCTCCGGGCGCGTTCAGCGCCAGGATCCAACGCGATTGAGCGCAGGTGGCGCGCTTCCGCACGAGCACAACGACGACACCGTCGCGCGCCGTTGGTGACGACGTTTAAAATCGGTCGAGGGCCACCCCTCGTACGTCTCCTCCGCGACACCCTCGGGGTGAAACTCGCAAATCTCGCTCAATGAACGCCGACGACCGGGATGTGCTCCTCGTCAACGCTTTGCCAACATTCCGAGCAAGGGCCCCCCCCCCCCCCCCCCACGTTCATCGTGTTGCCTGGGCCTGCCCCGGGCTGCCAAGATTGATTTTCGCTGGCCTGAGCCGAGGCGGCCAGGGAGACTGCGGGGGGGGGGGGGGGGGGGCATGAAACCACGAGTAAAATGAGCCAACATTCAAGAGGCAAAACGCTGCGTGGCTCTTCGCACCTAATCCGTAATGGCCTGGCAAAAAAAAAAATCGTACAGGACGTCCGCCGAGGAAGAGGATGGGAGAGATGGAAGCAGCTCGCGTGAAGGTCCTGGGTGGATCGTTACGTTGCCGGATCGCGAGAGACGGCCGGTGGCTTGACGGGTGGCTTCATTCGGCAGTGGCTCGACCGCGGCCGACGACGATGATGACGATGATCATGATGACGTTGGGCAAAGATGAGCGATTCACTCCCCGTCTCTCCCGGGCGTTTCGATGAGTTTGTCCTGATTCAGGGTTGCTAATAAGATTCAAGGTTCGATTACATTTTTTTTTTGCTACGTTGCGATAAATGTAGCAGCGGCCACTCGTGGTGCAGAAAATAAGAGAGGGGCGGAGCGGTGGCGCAGTGGCCACCGACAAGCATGGCGATGGAGGTGAAGAGGCAAGAGTTAAAGGCGCAGCCCTGCGATGGCTTGCTCGTGCCACCGCTGGCAGAAGGGCCAGCAGTGTCACTGAAGGAATCTTCGTAACAGACGAATCTCTCCCGGATAGACAATCGGCATCATCATCATCATCACGATCCACGGGCACATAGTCCCGGAGGTGTCCAATGCACATTTCATAATTTGTTTCCACTTTCCTCCATCATGCGCCAATATGCTCAGGTCGTGACGCATCTTTCCGGCACCAATCTCTTACGTCGTCATAAAGCCGTTCTCTGCCTTGTCTTCCACCCTTTCCGGTTCGTTACATTTTTTTCCCGCACAACACCACTTCACATGTTCCTGCTGATGTCCATCACACACACACACGTGCCCAAACAAACGACATCGAGGCAGCAACCTAGCGTTCAGACGCTCGATAAACCGGAGGTGCGTTCCGTCAGCGTTGGCTCGGATTTACTATTATTCTTTTGCAATGTGCCATCGCTGCTAACAATACCTGACCCAGCCCCCGCACACCCGTGTCTCTACGAAAGACAGCGCGCGCAAATTAGGAAAAAATCTCTTAACAAGACGGGACCAGGAGCCATCTGTCGTGCCACGGAGCAACCGACGGGGAGGTGGGGGGGGGGGTCATACCGCACGTTTTATGGAACGCAAAATAAGCGTAAAATAAAACTGGCACGTAATTTGATTCGTGTGAAGTGCCTGGCGCAGAGGGAGCGCCGGCCGCGACGGCGGCGACTCCCCCGGAGCGCCAGCGCCGTCGATCAACGCGTCGTGAATGAAGCGACGCTTCAATTGAATAACCGAATACCAATGGCACCGCAACAACGCTGCAAAATCATTTAACAGTCGTACAAAAAAACTCATTGCGCGCTCTGCGCGTGCGTGGACGTCTATTCGCGGCCCTTTTGCAAATCCACGGCCTCTGTGCCCACGCCGTGTGGGTCGTGGGGGTTAGTCAACCTCGACAGGCTTGCCAGTAAGGGCTGCGCCTGGATTGCCGGTGTGCTGCACTAGTAACGAATTGGCCACGTTCTTGAACGTAAAGCTCTCGTGACTGCAGGAATTCATATCCCTTGGGTCTTTGCGTAAAGTAACGAGGTTAGGTTCAAAGAAAAATAACGAAAAACTACGGCGTTTCGATCGCAACTTCGTAGGGTTTTTGTTATTTTTCTTTTAACGAGAGAACCAAAGGATATGGTTCTCTCTTGGCTGTGTCGGGTGGTGGCGGGTTTTATCGACAAATTTATATATTTACGCGATCTAACCGAAACAAAAACTACATTACGGATGATATTGGTTGTCAAAACCTACTACGGGTTAAACTGAAGGTTGGTGAAGGTGGGGGGGGGGGAGGAGGGGAGGGTTGAGGAGAGTAGCCGCGGGAGCACAGAAGTACAGGCCAACTATGGATTTTGCAGCGTGTGCCAACGCTGGTACCCACCACCGAGTCCCGGCAGCCCCTCTCGCAAGCCGTAAATGGTGGTCGCCCATCCAAGGGCAATCCAGGCTGAAACCTGCTTAGCTTGGCCTCCGAGCTCTGACGAAATCGGGCGCATTGCGCACCTCCGATTGGCACGGTTGGCTACGTACGGTGCGAAAGAAGTTCAACGTGCATACAGGTGCGCTTCTGCGGCCGTCTGGAACGCTCTTCCTTCCGATATTAGCAAGCCACTGGAGTTATGCACTTGTAACTCATCGGGATTGAAAACTCATTTATTTACAAGTGCTGTTTGGTTTGTTGTCCTTCCCCACCCAACACACGTCCGATTAGCACGGATGGTTACGTAGAGAGCGAAAGAAGTTCAACATACATGTGCACAGTCTAGGTGACGCTGCAATGGATTGGCGGCTATGATGGACACCTGCGATGAAAGACCTTGAAATAAGTGTTGGGTGGTTAGCATGGGGATGGAGACAGCACCAACCACGTGAGCCTGAACACGCCGAGACTTTCTCTATCTATCTCTCTCTCTCTCGCTGTTCTTCTTCTTTCGTACGGCTGATCGTGTAGACGCAGAGCAAACGACAGCAATTTCACATTCAGGTGGCCAAGCCCAGATAACCGCGTCAGGAGACAGCGGAGTAGTGCATCGCCGTGATGTCTCCTTCGCATTTGTGGATCGGGGCACTGCGTCGGTGCATGTCCCTCTCTCTCTAATTGATGCACACAGCATCGAGACGCCGCCCGCTGTCCACCTGTCCTCCCGGCCCTGGCTGGCGATAGTTAAGCGTCTTGCACACATCGCGGCGGCTTCAATTAGCAAGCGGGGAGCAAATGGCACCGTCTCGGATCGATACCGTTGCATTATTCGTCTTGAACGCACACGACCTTTTCAAGACATCGATCGACCCACCGACCCCCCCCCCCGCTTCCCTCCACCCCCCCCCCCCCTCTCCGGGGGCATCATCCGCTTCCCTATCCTACCCGCCCCCCATCCTCCCACAACCTCCCAGCTTCGACAGCACACATCCTAACAACTGAGGGGTGTAATCGCTCACGAAGGAAGGAAGGAAGGAGAGAGAGAACGGATAGCGATGGTGGACGGGAGAGAGGCGACAGGGTGGGGGGTGGCGACGGCCGTTGCCGCCGCTGCCCGAGCGGTCAACTCGATTCTCTAGGGCCTCCTTTTGTGTTCAGTTTGTTGTCCTTCCCCCGAACCCGCGATGAGCACGGTTGGCTACGTGCGGTGCGAAAGGAGTCCAACGTAGGTGCAGACAGCCCAAGGTAAGAGCGGTGTCAAATCCGTGGCAAGATGAGAGGAAGTCCACTCCGGTGGCTATGGGGACACGTCGGTTAACGGTTAGGGGCCGAGTCAACTCCTGGGGGGAGGTCCATGTCCTTCCCACGCACCACCGATAAGCACGGGTTGGCTACGTGCGGTGCGAAGAGAAGTTCAACGTACGGTTAGCGGAGTTGCACCGGTTCTCATTCGGGCGGCGGACAGTGGCGCAGTGGTCGTGCCCGTGCCTCAAAGGCAGCTGGGGGCCTCTGGGTTCGAGTCCCCGCCTGGAGCGCCCCCCCCCTCTGTGTGGAGGTTTTTATGTTCTTCCCCTGCTCTGTCCGGGTTACCTCCGGCGCCCCCAAGCTCCCTCCCGCGGTTCCCCGGTTTACTCCCATAGCGAATAACGTGCAACGGGATTGGTGTCACGCAACCATCCCCAATGTAGCAGGACCCTCTTTAAAATCAGTCTTCGGACTCGCTGTGGTTTTCCTGGGTAAAAACGTTAATAATTATTATTCCTCCACAATCCCTCGACGAAACATGTACCTGTAAACGAAAACCAGCAGCGGTGCCTGTGCTTGGTCCGTTTATGCATATTATTCTGCATTAAGTCAAATCGTCTGGGACAGTTAAAATCAGTGTGGGCAAACTATTGTTGCTATTCGTGACCCCCAGCCACAGCCGCCCCCCCCACCCCCACCCAGGGCGCACGGCAAAATGGGGCGACCGCCCGGGGCTCCGTGCTTTGACGGCCTTCCCCCCACCCCACCTGCGCTTTGACGTCACGGTGTCAAATGTAATACTTGCGGTTTAGTTTGAAGACATTGGGGGGGGGTGGGGGGGGGGGGTCACACGGTGTGTGATTCGTCTCGGGACCCACAATCCACCTCTCCCTCCCCACCTACGGATGGCTCTGCCTCGCAGCCGGTGTCAGAGACGTCCCCAAATTCTTAACGGCGTTGGCCAATCTCAGTTACAGCACCACGGCCGCTATTGACTCCCCCACAAAGCGGAATTCACTGAATCTATCCCCCGAGCGACACCGGACCCAGTCAATGCCCCAAACCGGGACTTTAAACTCGCAACCTCGCAGCCGTGAGTTACGCACTCTAATCACATCGCTCTCCAGCCGCACGCTATTACCATTAAGCCGCGCCACCATCGTTCAAAAATGCGCACGTGCACAGGACCTCTCGTCAATTCGCCGCTAGGAGTTCACCGACCGGACTTCACCACGTTGGTCAGCGAGGGTTGGTGAAGGCGGACGCCATAGTGCAAAGGAGTGCAGTACAATAACCGCCCCAAACGTAGCTCCACCACAGCAGCTATATCTGACCCCTGTTATGCACTGTTAAAATATCGGTGCCAGAAAGATGTGTCCACTGCTTGAGCGTATTCGCACACGACACTGCAAAGTGGAAAGAACTGACGAAAGGTGCAGCGGACACCCGACGGGCTACCTGCCCATGGATCGTGACGACGGTGGTGACGACGGTGGTGATACATTTCCACTTGATAAGCCACTCCCCTTCGTCGGGTTGCCATTTGTGGCCAGGTCGATTCTGAAAAAGAGCTACGTAGCTCTCAGTGGGCCTTACCTGGTGAAACAAGAATGGTGGTATCGTGTACGTACGTACGTACGTATTCATTCTCGAACTTCTTTCGTGTTTCGTGTAGTAGCAGCGGAGGAGCCACCGTCGTACCTGACTGTTCCTTCTGCTTCTTCTTCTCGAACTTGCGCTCCTTCACCTTGCGCAGGGACGTCTTGCCGCCGGCCTGGCGGATCGACTCCAGCAGGTTAGCCCGGTTCCCCGAGGGCTGCACCACCTCGCTCGGAGCGCCCTGCAGAACCCCTGCGGCAAAGAAGACAAAGCGGAGGAGCACCCACCACCGCCGCCCCCCGCAGGCCCCGTCAATCAGGTCTCACGGGGTGAATAACGCCAGGTTGCTTCTGAAAAAGTAGCTGCATAGATCAGTGGGCAACTTAACCTTGTAAAATAACAAATATATAAGTTTTGATTTAAAGCTTTCGTGACTGCAGTAATTCATATTCTTAGTTTTTTCGGTAAAGTCACGTTGAAGAGAAACAACAAAATAACTCAAACGGTCATCATCAGGTGATGACCGTTTGAGTTAAGGTCGAAACGTCGTGAGAATTTTTTATTGTTTTATATATTTTGTTATTTTGTTGTTTCTCTTCAACGTGACTTTACCGAAAAAACTAAGAATATAAATATATAAGTGTTTATAATTTAGGGGGTGATGTTGCCGAGACTAATCCCGTTCGAGCGATGTGCCCGCGTCATTATCAAAGGCCGAAGCAGGAGGATTTCTCCACAGGTCTGGCTGTCTGCCCGATGATGCCGGTTGTAATTACTGGCGAACCATCACGGGACTCAAAATGTAAACGTTGTGGGTTGACTCGCCAAACCCGCCGGTGTGCTGAACGAGTAACTAATTGAAAGTTTTTTTTTTTAAATTGACAAACCTTACTAATTGGCTGTGTCGTGTTGGTGGAAGGGCTTAACGACACGTTTATATTTCTTCGCGGTCTCACCCAAAAACCTCTGTTATGGGTAGCTCTGTGATATCCGCTTCTGTGGGCCCGTTCTCGAACGCAAAGGGTCGCACTGCGTCGCGAGTGCAACACGCATTGGATGATTTACCATCTTGCCGACACGACGCAACATCACAATCGGGACAAAAATCGTGAAGAGAAAAAGATATTTGACAAGCGGATAGACAGACAGAGAGAGACCTGCGCGCTCTCACCAAACAGGAAGGGTAACGCAGCACCGAGGAACCGGGCAGTCTCACTGCATCGCTTGCCGCTGCACGGCCCAGGTCGATTCCTCGACAGGACGAAACGTCGGTGGAGCACAGAGTAGGCTCTGTCACGTGACGTCCAGGGTCAAGATGGAGCCGAGACCTATCGTTTTATTTGCCGCTCTTCGGTCAATAACGGGGCAAATTACACGGACGTTTTTTCTCCGCCCCCTCTCCCCCGCCCCAAAGCGAATAAACGTGAGGTTACAAACGAGGGCCCAAAACGTTCTCGTGATAAAAGTTATCGACAGAGCTTGAGCTCGTGATGCCACTTTCATAACAACAACCAAAAATTGCCGTTAACGATCGTAAATTTAGACGTGTGGTATAGCATCGCTCAAGGGCGATAAGAGGTCGCACGGCGGTTGAGAGCTGCCGTGCCAAGACCCCGATGACCCGAGTTCGATTCGCGGCGCCCCTGCTGCTGTCAGAGTCAACGTGAGATTTGAAGTGGTCCCTTATCTAGCTCCCTTGAGCAGCCCCAGCCTAACACCAGCATGGGTTAAGCACGGTCGATCAATCCGCACGATCGGAAAAGTTGGCGGTTTGGGGTAGACGTTCAACCAGCAGGAGAGTTTTCAAAGGGTTGCAAATTATTACTGTTATAATTATAGGGCCGCCAAAAGTGGCGAGATGTTAAATACCTTGCGTGGTATACAGGAGGTCGTGGGTTTAATTCCGACCATTGACGCCTGCGGTATATTTGGAGTTGACATGTCTCTCTCTCAGTTGTGGCGTAGATTTTCGTCCGGGCCCTGCATTTTTCCCCTCCACATTTACAATCGTGCGTTTTAGAGCATTCGGTTGCGATACATTTCCACGTGATAAGCCACTTTGTTGAGCTATCATTTGTGGCCACGTCGCTTCTGAGCTATACAGCTCAGTTGGACCTTACCCGCTAAGATTAAAAAAAAGCTTATAGTTTTATAAACATACATTTATTTTTTATTTGCAGTCATCGGTTAAAAAAAACAAAAGGAATTAGCTCCTAAAAATAAATCCTTAACCTGTGGCCAGACGAGATGTATTGATGGCTTTGCACAAGCAGAGATGGATGGCCTAATCTCGCAACGCCGGGCGGCTTGCAGGAAAAATCCTACGCCGCTGCTGCTGCTGCTGCTGCTCCTTGCCGGAGCGCCCGTGACTCAAAACGCCTCGCGAGCTCCAAGCTCAGCCGACCGCGACAGATTGATGGAGGTGGGGGCGGCGTGGCGGGGGTGTAAAACAGATCGAAATTCCCTCCACCGACGCGTGACGCCGGCAAAAACTTCTTATTAGGGCGCGGCACGCGCAGGGAGAGATCGACAGAGAGAGGGCGGCACTCGCGACACGCTTGCGCATGCCGCGAGGCGCTTGCGAGGGCCCCACCGAGCGAGCAACGCCGCCCCCCCCCCCCCCGCACACCCCCACAACTTTGTGACTCAATGAATTATAATCCACTTAGTTGGGCGCGCGGACTGAGCTCCCGCGATTGGTCGCAGGGCGCCCCAGGGCACGCGCGCGCGTGCAACGAGATAGCGAACTTCGCCTCTTTAAAAGCAGTTTTAACTCGTCCAATCGCAACGCTCTCGCCACAGGTGAGCCACGGGGGGGGGAGGGGGGTGAGGGGAGGGGGAGCGCAAGGTGGGGGAAACGACGAACAGGGGGACGGATGGGGACTCACGATTCACAGATAACTGTGAGCCCCAATCCAAGGGGCAATTTCCACCCTTTATCTACACCTGGAACGACATCAACCGCTGTCTAATGCGCGCCAAACAAATAAGTGCCGTTTTTCAAAGTGCAAACACCCATGCGCTCGTATTATTGACCTCATCTGGAGAGTAATCTAGTGGTGTGAAGGTGTGGGGGGTTTTTCTAAACCCCCCCCCCCCCAGCCTTGTTTTCCACAGAGGCTTTTAGAGAGGCTGGTAATTACAGCGAAGGACAAAAAGCATTGATTCCGATTCCTGGCACGGAGCTCGGGGGCGCACGTACCGTGGACGGACGGACCTCACCGCCTGCCTAGCTCCGAAAGAACACTCTCGCGATCGCAGGCACACCAAGGAGCCGCGGAGAAAACGAAACGGCGCCGCTAACCCTCGGGCTAGGGGTCGGGAGGGAGGAGTGGCGGGACAGACGGGTAATAATCCACAGCCCCTGGTCAATCCGCTGCTGGATGAAGGCCACCCGACGCCACGTTAGCCGTAGGCGTTTTCAACTGTACTTCACCACGCCGGTAAGCACTGGTTGGCGGAGGCGGAGAGGATATGCATGTATGCCGAACGTCTTTCGCACCACACGTGGTCAACCGTGCTAATCGGAGGTGTACTGCGCATGGAGGTATAGTCGACAACCGGTTCTCGCCGGTGGTGCCGACGACGTCACCTCCACGTCCGGCGGCACATGCGTGGGGGACGTCGGGGAACAGAGGTGGTGGGACTTGCAAACGATTTCCGTGCGATCGTATCGGTCGAGCGACCGAACCGGGAGAGTGTCGGTAGAAAAAATCCGACCGCCGTGATCGGGGGTTCGGCAACTTCTTCTTCTTCTTCAAAGAAGAAGAGCCATTTGTTTTGTGTTTTTGTCTGTGACCAAAACATTAATATTTCGAGAGCCGCATCGCACACGCAGAGCCACTCGTTCACAAACACAGCAGCAGGAATACATCAGATGACAAACTGAAATGAAGAAAAATAGGCGATTAAACAAACTGCTGTCCACTTCGTTATTTTTCCTTCACATTTTGTCGCCATCAAAAGACTAAGTAGCATGGGAAAGCAGGGTCCGATTTTGCGACGACCTGATCTACTACGGCGTTTCCAGGAACGTAAAAGGGGAGAGGGGGGGGGGGGACCGCCTACACTCAGAACCGAATTAAATAAATAAAAAACGGCTGCCCACCAAGTGGGGCAGCAGTCAAAGAGCCGCACGTGGCTCTCTGACTGCCCGCAAGGGGGCAGCCTAAGAGCCGCACGTGATTCCGGAGCCGCAGGTTGCCAACCCCCCCCCTGGTTTAGACCGTCAGATTGCGTGGCTCTAGTGACTAGCCGGCAGCCGGCAAATGCAACCGTAGAGCCCTCGGGCACGGTCACGGCTCTCGCTCCGTCGTCCGCTCCCGTCGTACCGAGCGCCGGCTGAGGGACGTCTGCGCCGGAAGCCGGGCCGGAGAGCGGCGGTGGAGGCGGAGGAGGCGGCGGAGGAGGCGGCGGGCCCGGCGGACCGCCGCCGGCCATTCCGGGCGGGGGGCCCGGTGGGAGCATCCCAGATGGAGGGCCCGGGGGAGGAGGAGGTGGAGGAGGCGGCGGCGGCGGCGGTGGTGCAGCCCCGGAGGGAACCGGCAGCAGCAGGCCATCGCCTGTGGCCACACGGAGACGGAGGAAACCAAGGGAGATGAAGCGTGCGCACGCGTGGGTTCTGGCTCATGCGCGTGTGAACCCTACGGCCGCTGGGGGGGATTGAATTTGCCACGACGCCAAAACAAACAAATTGATTAATCGCTAAACTAATGGAATCAACAGGTGAGGGGAGGGATGAGGGGGATTGTGATTTGTTGCATGCATAATGTCCAATGGTGATCTTGCGGTGCTGGCCGCGGTGAGGGTGACGATAATAGTGGCGGTGGTAAAAGTGGTGGTAAAAGTGGTGGTAAAGGTGGTGATGGTGGTAGTGGTGGTGGTCGCTAAAATACAAGTTGGTGCAGAAGGGGGCACAGCTGGTGCATCTGCCAGTCATCTCAATCAGTCAACCCATGGCACCTGGGAATGTCCCACATGACCTCTTGTCAACGAGCCTTCCACATTTCATGTGGCCTCAGAGTGCACCTGGCCTGGCACGAGTGCCGTGGTGACGTCACCGCCACTTAGTGGTACATGGCGACTGTTGTTGTTGGTGGCGGTAGTCACGGTGACGAGATGTTTACTACCTTGCCTAATATACGGGAGTCCGTGGGTTCGATCCCAACCCTTACGCCTGTATATTTGGAGTTGACATGTTATCCCCCGTTATTCGCGTCGATTCTTCTCCGGGTCCTCCACATTTAGAATCAACGCGAGTTCACGAGTATTAGGGCTGCTACAAATGTCCACGTGATGACAGGCCCCCTCCGTTGAGCTATCATTTGTGATGGCCAGGTCACTTCTGAAACGAATAAAAAATAGTTTACTTTCAGTTTAGTTGCACGCGCGCGCACTCTCGTACACGGATGGTAAATAGATAAGCGACGTGCTCGCCGAGGTGGGTAGAAGCACGATGGTGGTGGCGGCCGCGGCGGCGGCGGCGGCGGCCGTGCCGACTTCAGCGAGCAACCGTACCGGGCCCCGGCTCGAAGGTGGGCAGTTCGGGGAGACTGGCAGCCGAGATGGCGGAGGGCGCGATGCTGGGGCCCATGTCCAGCGTGTAGGCGAGGTCGTCCGCCACGCCGGGAAGGTCGGGCAGGTACGACGGCACATCGATCTCGGGAACCTGGCCCAGGTCCGGCACGTAGAAGTAGCTCTCCAAGGTCTGAGCGATGGGAGAGAAGGTGCCGCACGGGTTAGGGTCGTGTGTGTGGTGTTGTTATCGGAAACACCGCTATCATCGTCTCCATCGTCGGTATGGCCATGGTCGCCAGCATTATCATCACTAATGTCATCATCATCATCATGGTCACCGGCATTATCATCATCATCACCATGGTCACCAGCATTATCATCACTAATGTCATCATCATCACCATGGTGAACAGCATTATCATCATCTTCATCACCATGGTCACCAGCATTATCATCACTAATGTCATCATCATCACCATGGTCACCAGCATTATCATCACTAATGTCATCATCATCACCATGGTCACCAGCATTATCATCATCATCACCATCACCATGGTCACCAGCAATATCATCACTAATGTCATCATCATCATCATGGTCACCAGCATTATCATCATCATCACCATGCTCACCAGCATTATCATCATCATCATGGTCACCGGCATTATCATCATCACCATGGTCACTAGCATTATCATCATCATCACCATGGTCACCAGTATTATCATCACTAATGTCATTATCATCACCATGGTCACCAGCATTATCATCATCATCACCATGCTCACCAGCATTATCATCATCATCATGGTCACCCGCATTATCATCATCACCATGGTCACCAGCATTATCATCATCATCACCATGGTCACCCGTATTATCATCACTAATGTCATTATCATCACCATGGTCACCAGCATTATCATCATCATCACCATGGTCACCAGCATTATCATTACTAATGTCATCATCATCATCACCATGGTAACCAGCATTATCATCATCACCATGGTCACCAGCATTATCATTACTAATGTCATCATCATCACCATGGTCACCAGCATTATCATCATCACCATGGTCACCAGCATTATCATCACTAATGTCATCATCATCACCATGGTCACCAACATTATCATTACTAATATCATCACTATGACAACCACGATTATCATTACTTACGTCATCTTCATCACCATGACCACCACGATCATCATCCCCGTGACCACGACCATTATCAGCACTAATATCGTCATCGTTGTCACCAAAGCCGTGCCTCCCACTTTTATCATCGATATCGACATCAACATCACTACCAGCACCACCACCCGAACCGCTACTGCTGCGATCAGAGGAATTCTCTAAAATATTATTTTGTTCATTCCCGAATGTTCATCTTGACCGTGCTATCAGTGTCGGATCAGGAGACAGGGGATCCGCTTAGCTATTTTACACAGCAGCGCGACCTTTGTGCAAGAGCAGAGAACAGCCCACGGTGTTGGGATATCACAGAGCTACCACTGAGATACCATGACGTGACGTTCGGGGGGGCAGCGGTTCCCCCCACTCGCTCCGCATTCGCTCGTCGCACGACAGCCAAAACGAAAATGCCTTTGCTCCTCAGGAGTTGGGATTTAGCCGCATTCAGCGCGGAAACCAAAACTTTACGTGACGGCAATTCATCGCGCAAGTCACCTGTGACGGGGCTGACACGATAAACCCACGAACGACGCTTGAGGAGCCCAGCTTAATCGCAGACGGGCGGCTGGAAATACCGATTCCAACCCAGGAATCTCAAGAGGTGCTAGCTCAGCACTCTCAAGCGGTGATTCACTCGGCCACCTCTCACAATCTCCAGCTGAACCATCATCGTAATCACCATAATCACGGTAACCTCCTGGGCGGGGCGGTGGGGAGGGAGAAGGGCGTGCAGCTTCGCCGAGGTCTGGGATGACGAAGGGACAAACCCAGGAGCGCGGGAAGTTTGCAGCCGAGCACAGCCGCGAAATAAAAAATATACCGCGCTTGAAGCGTCCCGTGGAAAATGATGGAAGGACGTGACGCGAAGGAAGCCGTGCCAAGCGGCTGATTTTCTCGACAAATACGCCGGCAACCTCTTTCCGCCAGCACTCTGCTGCCAGCGAGCGCAAGACGCGATGGGCGGCTGCCGAAGGCGACAAATGAGACGGTGAATAGGACCCACTTGCGCGGCCGAATCTCAGAAACCACGGCTTGCCGTGCAATTTGCCGACGGCCCAGTTGGCTGGTGATGGCCAATGGAACGACATTAGCGAGGATCTGCACAGAACACCGTGCCCGACTTGTCTCCAAGAGCTTCCCGTCTGCCGGCTCCGTGCACGCAAAGCTCGCACCGTCATGGGGGCAATGATTATTCACCGGACATGGGGGCAATGATTATTCACCGGACATGGGGGCAATGATTATTCACCGGTCATGGGGGCAATGATTATTCACCGGTCATGGGGGCAATGATTATTCACCGGTCATGGGGGCAATGATTATTCACCAGACATGGGGGCAATGATTATTCACCGGTCATGGGGGCAATGATTATTCACTTGACAACGTTTTGGCTAAACATCGAACAAAGACGGTTTCACTTGCATCGCGCGATTTCAGATGTGCTTCTGCGGCCGTCTGGAATGCTCTTCCGATATTAGGAAGCCACTGGAGCTTTGCGCTTTGCAATCTAAATTGAAAACTCATTTCTTCAGAGCTGTTTTTTGTGCTTAAATTGTCGTCCTTTCCCCGCACCTTCCGATTAGCACGGCTGGCTACGTACGGGGCGAAAGAAGTTCAACATACATACATACACACAAATACCTTCAAAAGTACATTGAACAAAGCCTGGCAAAAAATAACCTTTTAAAAGAACGTGGAAAAACCAAACAGACACCCTCTTGTCATGAGATTCGTGTGATGTATTTATCCAGGGACACTTCGCTGCACTGTGTTAATACTCCTTTTTTTCAGGATGGTCCGGCTACACCAGGATATTTGACCAACTCAAATAATTAGTAACAAAACGGTCAACACTTTTGTCAATTTACACTGTGGCCTTAAAAGGAAAATACATTAAAACAAATATGACAGGTGATATTCTGGGCAGTAGCCCTTGCTGATGGCACGGACGTGAAAAATATGAAAAATTTGGCACGTGGCTGTATGGGATGAAACTGATATACACTGAGAAAACTCGAGCATTTAACCCTCATAGCGATGCACACAGAGATTCTAGAATCCATCGTTGTGCTGCTCACTTCCTGGTTACCACAGAAAAACCTTTTTTTCAATAAAAAAAAAACTTTTTTAATTTTAGGACATAAGGCCCACTGAGCTGTATAGCTGTTTATCAGAAGCGACCTGGCCACAAATGACAGCTCAACGAAGTGGTTCATCACGTGGACATTTCTAGCAGCCAAATACTCGAAACGCACGATGTCGATTCTAAATGTGGAGGGGAAAAAAACGAGGACCCCGGAAAAAAACTCGGCGCAATCACGGGGAGAGAGACACGCAAACTCCAAATATACAGGCGTCGGTGTAGGGATCGAACCCACGACCTCGTGCGTACCAGGCGAGGTAGTTAACATTTTGCCACCGCGGCACCAGCAGCAAGACCCTCCTGGCAACGGTTTTGCATACCCACCCATAATTATTTGCGGCATCTTCAGATGCGGTTCCATTTCAGATGCCCTTATAAACTATGTTGTCGATGATGCTATGCAAATCATGTGCAAATGGTGCATTCGTTAGGCTATCGGAGTAGTTACAGGCAATGATAAACATTCATAATAAAGGTTTTTGGGTTAGATCGCGTTATTTACAAATGTGCCGTAACCCTCCACCACCCGACACGGCCAAACAGTAAAAAATGTGTCACGTTTATAAAGGACAAATAGTTCACTACTTTAGCCCACCGGTGTGTTGAAGAGTGAATCAACATCATTAAAAAATTTGAGTACGACGTTTCGTTTGTAATTACATCCAGCATCATCGGGCAATGTTGCCAGAATGGTGAGGCCCTCCACTTGCTCCCGGTCTTAAATAGAGCAGCATGGTGACGTCATATTTAACCCGATCTGATGCAGGTTTATGACACAATAATAAATAACGTGATCTCACCCAAAAACCTTTATTATGAATAATATTGGTCGCGAAAGCCTACGTGTTAAATGATAAACATTGTAAAACAACAGGACGGTACATTTTTGGAGAAAAAAATCAATTCATGAAAAAAATCAATTCATGATTTTTTTTTATCATACCCCACCCCCCTCCCCCCATGGAAATTGTGACAATTTAACTAAGCAATGGGGAACAGAGTGTGTGTGTGTGTGGGGGGGGGGGAGGGTGAATCAATACAATACCTAATAACCAGGGTGCAGCCGCTCACGCATGTTAATCTTTACCGGTTGAATTTCAGCAACAACCCAAGACGAGGAGGGGTGCCCAGGTCTTGATATTCAAGAGCCAGCGCGTGTTCTTACAGCGTAACGAGGACGACTGCCATGAAGTAAAATTAAAAGGCAAATGGTGACGACAGCGTCAAGTCGCCGGCCTGGAGACACGGTGAAACGGCGATGCCACTGTTTTGCCGTTCCACCCAAAACGCAACATATTTTGGGCTCTCACGCGAAGGATTAAGCCCTTGAGAAAAATATCGCCGTTATGCGAATGCCCGTCGTCACCACCGCGAACCGAGGGCACGAGGATCGTCCGCCACGCAGCAATAATCGGGCGCGATTTATTTATTTATTTACTCGCTCGCTCGCTCGCCTTCCTACCGACGCATTTGCGAATCATTTTGAGATGCCACGTTGGGCAGTGGTGCACAAGCACAATGAATGAAAGTAGAAACAAAATCAACAAATCCCTCAATACCACCGTGGCCTTAAAAGGAAAAAAAAAACGTGTAACAGGTGACGTTTCGGGCAAATGGTCCTCGTTCAGAGCACTATATTTATGAGCTTTTCATGAGCTTGCTTATTTATGAGCTTGCTTCCTGTCAAACTAGTATCTTGTTTAACACAATGTATTTACAATTGTGCCATTAACACCATGACGGAAGGGCGAGGCATCAATTGAGATAAATTAATTTTACCCGGTGTGCCATAGAATCGCCCCGTGGAAGTAGATAGCACGGAACTACTTTTGAAATCCATTGGGGGTGACCATTTCTCTTTACCCACACACACGAGGCGGCGCTGACCTTTCTCACATATCCTGCTACAAAGAAAACGCTTGGCCCATGGCATTTAAACTAAATATAATTCTCAGAGCTAGGATGTATCGAAATGAAGTAATGACTTTCTTTGCGTGCAGCAACTGGCTTATCAGACTGAGACCATCAACCCCGTTACGCCTGAGAACCTGGGTTTAACCACGGCCCGATTGAAACCCAGATTCGAAGAAAAATCTCAGCAGTGTCACTTCAGTGCTCCGACGCCTAAACTTCCCCGGCTTTCCCATTCAAAGTGAACCTCGCAAGTTCAATATATTCTTTCAGCTGTACATTTCACGACAATGTTAACGCCACAACGGCTTGCATTGTCGATCGCCGACAGTTCCCGGAGCGGGCAAAGGAACGGAGCACGGAGCTCATTATATCTCTGCGGGAAAAAAATACAAATCTTGACAGAGCCACGGAGCGAGCCTTCAGTGATTCTCCCGACCGCGACGCCACCCAGGACCTTGGCCGCTGTCCCCGCTGTGCAGTCCACACGTGCAGGGCCACGTGTGAGGGCGAGTGAGCGAGTGAGCGGGCGAGTGAGCGAGTGAGCGAGCGAGCGAGCGAGCGTGCACATGAGAACAAACAGATGTGCGTGCATGCAGGGAACGAGCGAGCGAGCAAGTGAGTGCGAATGCGAGTTCCGGTGAGCGTGTGTGCACGTGAGTGAGCGAGCGAGCGAGCGAGCGAGCGTGCGCATGAGAACAAGCAGCTTGAGCGTGCGCGCAGGAGCCGAGCGAGTGAAAACGTGAGCTCAAGTGAGCGTGTGCGCACACGAGTGAGCGAGTGAACAATTTAATGAGCGCGTCATGGCGAATGTGTGAACGAGAGCGCGAGCACACGTGAAAGTGAGTGAGCGAGTACGCAAGCTGGGGAGCGTGCGTTGCCACCCCCTTCTCACCCCCCCCTTCTCGTACCGTGCGCTCCATCTGCTCGCGCTGCGCGATGGAGATGGGCGCCTCCCCGGGGCCACTGTCCACCTCGCCCTGCAGCGCCGTGCGCGTCTTGGTGACGGCGCCCGACAGCGGGTCCAGCATCACGTACTTCTTGTACCTGGCGCCACGATGCGGCGGGACGAATGGGACGCACGAGATGAACAATCCGTGCACGATTCCGTCTCTTTCATTTTTTTTAGTTTGATTATTTTGTTTCTGGAGTTTGAGTTTACGTGATAATTTTTTTTTTTTGCCTTATGGATGATCCCATTTAGCCAAACTCCTGGCTATTCTATAACCGAGATGTGTGGTGCGTGAACACTGTAACAACAGAAACAAAAGACAAAAGCATCAATGTTGCAGGGAGCGAGTACAGGGTCCTTTAAGGGGGATATTGCACAACTCACGAGGTACAGTAGAACCTCAGAGATCGAACGCACCAGAACTCGAACAAATCGGTGTTCGAAACGTATTTCCCAACATTTTTTTGCCCCGGAAACCGAACGAAATTCGGAGGTCGAACGGGGCAATCGCGCCTTGAAAGAACCTGTACACGGCTGAGACGCGTGGTGGCAGCAGCATGCATGATGCTTGCCCAGACAAAGGTTTTACCACCTCCCCCTCCTCACCACCTTCCACTCAAGCCATCAACACTCCTTACTACAGGTAAAGTGAAGTTCAATGTTCATTTATTTCCTTTTTTCCATCAATTTATTCATTTATTCCATTTATTTATTCATTGTGTTTGTTGTTTTTTTTGTATGATTTTATGCATGCAATTACTGTAAAATTCGAGTAAAAACGCTTTACAATGAAATATTTATTTTGTCTATCTAAGGGGAGGGCCTTCTTCAGCACTTCCTCTGGGCACAAATGAATTCGGGAAAAACCTGGCCAATTATATTCGGCGGGAGGGCCATGCTGCTGTCACTTTTACCAACTACAGTAAAACCTTGGATTGCGAGTAACTTGGTCTACGAGTGTTTTGCAAGACCAGCAGTTTTTTTTATTAATTTTAATTCTATAAACAAGCGAGGGTCTTGCAATACGAGTAGTGTACGTATACGCTTTGTCTGCCGAGCGTCACGTGATCACAACTGATAGAACCAATTAATGTCATTTACATGAATTCTCATGGGGAAAATTAATTCGGTGTTCGAACAAATCGGTGTTCGAATGGCCTTCTGGAACGAATTAAGTTCGATCTCCGGGGTACCACTGTACTTGACTTTTCTAAATGAACCGCACCTGAATAAATCAAACCCAGTGCAAATGTAACGTCACGGTACAGGTGCACGCAAATCTCGATATTTTAGTCTAACAGTGACCTACACATTGAGCATTTTCAGAAATAAATAAAATAACATTTCAAATTGCTTCGTACGACAAGATCACCCCGAATGCACCTGATCTCATCAGCTCTTGCAAGCTGAGCAGGTTTGAAGCCTGGCTGTACGTGGATGAAGGACTGCCTGGGTATACCAGACATCGCTTAGGCTGCATGCTGCAATCGATTTGTGAATCTAATCGTGCCTTGAGCTCTGGGCATTACCACTATACGTGCGTGTGTGTGTGTGTGTGGCTTCCCTCTGGGGAGCGGTAGTGTAGGGGTTAGCGCGCGGCGCGGCAAACCCGGCGACCCAAGTTCGATAAACGCTCACGGCCAACACCAGTGAGGATGATCCGAAGTGGTCCTGGGCCTTCCCTAGGTCGACTCAGGCTCAAATGAGTACCTGGTACGGGGTGTAAACATCGCCACACCACACCACACCTTCGCGCGCCGTACCGGCCTTCACAGGTGCTTGCCAAATGCACTTGGCCTACTGTCTGTCAAGGCTATATGGGAGATCTTTGTATATGTTGGTCCCTCTGGCAACCTCCAGTTTCCCACCACACAAAGTCAAACTCTCATCCGTGGAATTGGCCAAACATCGCAATGCAAGATCCTCCTGAAATATAATTTTTAAGCCTCGTAGAATGCTATGTTGGATAACTAAAGCACATCATTATGATTACAACTGTTTGGTTTTTCATCTTATTATAAGAGGGTGCTTTGTCAGGTGTGGTTAAATGCTTTTGAATTGTTTCATTTCAGGCTTTCCTGGATAATCAAAGGGCATTATTATCACGACTTACAAAATTATACCAGGCACTAAACGTGAAAAATTGAGTCAAGACTTTCACGAAAGTCTCTTAAATCTCACAAAAATACCGCACGCAAGTACGTAGCTCTCATTGCCGGGTGAACCAATTATTGCATTGCGGAAGTCTGGCTAAGGAGAGGGCCTTCAGCACTTCCTCTGGGCACAAATGAATTCGGGAAAAACCTGGCCAATTATATTCGGCGGGAGGGCTATGCTGCTGTCACTTTTACCAACTACAGTAAAACCTTGGATTGCGAGTAACTTGGTCTGCGAGTGTTTTGCAAGACGAGAATTTTTTTAAAATAAATTTAAATTTGATAAACGAGCGAGGGTCTTGCAATACGAGTAGCGTACGTATACACGCTTTGTCTGCCGAGTGTCACGTGGTCACAACTGATATACGAGTGCTTTGATATACGAGTGATTTGGATTACAAGCACGTTTCCGGAACGAATCATGCTCGCAATCCAAGGTTTTGCTGTAAATCGCAGGTAACTTTACTTTTGTACGGACCATTTAGTGGAAGTAATGTGGTGTCCGAAGTCGTACGAATCGGCCTACAAAACAACAAGAGACACCCGAGCTGGCCGGACTGACTGGGAATTGAACTCGAGTCATCAGGTTCTTAGTGCAGTGCGCCGACCATGAATAATCGCACGTCTGCGACACGCACGAAAACACAGGTCTCCCATTAAGGCCTTTCACAGACTAGTGGGGGCAAGTGCTGTTAGCAAGAACCAACGAAGGCCAGCATGGCACACGAGCTGGTGAGTGGCCAGCACCACGCCCGGCCGCCTTTGGCTCCCCATTGTTGACGTTCATACCCCTCACCAGATACTCATTTTAGGCTGAATCGACCTAGTGGAGGTCCAGGACCGGCTGTTCAAATACTCGTCCATGGTGTTGACAGTGAGCCGCAATCGAACCCGGGTTGCTATGTTCGTAGCGCAGCTGCGTGCATTGAGACTATTTTGATTATTTTGCTGCTATGTCCAAATGATGGGCCACTTTGTTGAGCTATCATTTATGGCCAGATCGCTTCTGCGGAATAAGTTAATACCTCGGTACGGCTTTTTCTGGTAGAATGGGGATGGTTTAGTTTTATCTGTATGTGTTTGAGTGATTGGTTTACTTTTATTTAACTTGGCACTACTGTCGTGTTTATATACTGTTTGTTGTTGTAACGTTTTTACCCACCCATCTGTGGAAAAGGAGATTTACAGCTCATCGGATTCCTCCAGTAATACATACACATTTTGATAAAATAAAAAAACCATTATGAACCACTACGCCTTCGCTCCCCATACACTCGCGGACACGCACGCACGATCGTAAGCGCGCGCGAGCGAGCGAGCGGCTGGCGTACGTACGGGTTCTCAGCAGTGCTGAAGAGCAGCAGGGAGCTGATGGAGTTGATGTTGCGTGGGAGACCTCCCAGTCCCTCCTCGGCCTCTTCGTCGCCTTGCCGTCGCCTGCGGCTCACGCCCACGTGGTACATCTGAAGCTTCTCCTGCATGGGAGGGCATGATGGGGAGGAGGGCGGAGGGGGGGGCACAGCAGTGAGTGAAGCTCAAAAACATGGACAACCCCGAAGGATCACGATGACGGCATCGCGGTGGCTACAGTGGCGACGAGAGCGGAGCTCACACAAGTGAACGTCGTAGGTGTGCACGGGAGGGCGTCACCCATACGCAGAACGGCGACAACATAATTTTCCGTACTTTTGAGGCATAAGCAATTAGGAAATAACACCTACTACCCAGGAACAACATTTTTTGTTTGTTACACAGTGTTATAACAATACAGTAAAGCCTTGGATTGCGAGCATAATTCGTTCCGGAAACGTGTTTGTAATCCAAAGCACTCGTATAACAGTTGTGATCACGTGACGTTCGGCAGACAAAGCGTGTATACGTACACTGCTCGTATTGCAAGACCTCGCTCGTTTATCAAATTAATATTTATTTAAAAATTTTGCTCGTCTTGCAAAACACTCGCAGACCAAGTTACTCGCAATCCAAGGTTTTACTGTAATGCTGGCGAAATATGGAAACTATTATGGAAATTTGTGTTTTAATTGCAATTAGTATGCACACTCAACAAATTGTCTTATAAAAAGATTACATGATGGGAAATTAGCAGTGATGAATGTTATTCATTTGAAAAATAATATGCATCCATACTAAACCCACGAACATTAACGCAGTTATAATGCAATCAGTGTATTTTCCATCAGAAAAATCATGCCCTTAAAAAAATGCAATGATAAAACCCTGACGTGCAACTCATCTTCACCGGAACACAATACAGCATCTCAAATAAACTCCCCGAGCGAAACAAAGACTCGACAAATATTCCCTGTGTGGCCTTTAACAGAGAGTTGGTGCAATTTAGCTGTTAGCGAGCGCCTATTACCCCCGGCACTGAAACAAGGGGGGGGGGGGGAGGGGTGGGCTGGGCTGGCCAGCGCCACAATCGGCCGCCTTTGTCTCCCCGGTGGTGAGTTTACACACCGTGCCAGGTACTCATTCAAGGCCGAGTCGACCTAGGCGAGGCCCACTACCAGTTCAGACGATCGTCACCGGTGTTGGCCGTGAGCGGGAATCGAGCCCGGGTCGTCGTGTTCGCAGCAGCAAGCTCCAATAAAACAAAGCACGTACACGCGTGTACACGTGTACACGCGTACACGATCAGGGTGCCTGCTCACAAATTGTGGCAAGTACACTCATGGTGTTGGGGTGCGTAGGCCGGGTGTGTAATTGCGCGTGCTTATGCGCGCGTTTCCTACGCGCGGTGGCGCAGCGTGTGGCGCGCTGCGCCGCCAACCGGGCAAGCCGAGTTCAATTCCCGCTCGTGGCCAATAACGGCGACGAGTCAGTTTAACACGGATCGGTTTAACACGAATCGGTTTAACACGGATCAGTTTAACACGAATCGGTTTAACACGGATCGGTTTAACACGAATCGGTTTAACACGGATCAGTTTAACACGGATCGGTTTAACACGAATCGGTTTAACACGGATCAGTTTAACACGGATCGGTTTAACACGAATCGGTTTAACACGGATCGGTTTAACACGGATCGGTTTAACACGCATCAGTTTAACACGGATCAGTTTAACACGGATCGGTTTAACACGAATCAGTTTAACACGGATCGGTTTAACACGGATCGGTTTAACACGAATCAGTTTAACACCCAGCCTCAAATGGGTGCTAGGTGTGATGTGTTAAATGGGTGCTTGGTACGATGTGTTAAATGGGTGCTAGGTGTGATGTGTTAAATGGGTGCTTGGTACGATGTGTTAAATGGGTGCTTGGTGTGATGTGTTAAATGGGTGCTTGGTGCGATGTGTTAAATAGGTGCTAGGTGCGATGTGTTAAATGGGTGCTTGGTGTGATGTGTTAAATGGGTGCTTGGTGCGATGTGTTAAATGGGTGCTTGGTACGATGTGTTAAATGGGTGCTTGGTGTGATGTGTTAAATGGGTGCTTGGTGCGATGTGTTAAATGGGTGCTAGGTGCGATGTGTTAAATGGGTGCTAGGTGCGATGTGTTAAATGGGTGATTGGTGTGATGTGTTAAATGGGCGCTTGGTGCGATGTGTTAAATGGGTGATTGGTGCGATGTGTTAAATGGGTGCTAGGTGCGATGTGTTAAATGGGTGCTAGGTGCGATGTGTTAAATGGGTGATTGGTGTGATGTGTTAAATGGGCGCTTGGTGCGATGTGTTAAATGGGTGCTTGGTGCGATGTGTTAAATGGGTGCTAGGTGCGATGTGTTAAATGGGTGCTAGGTGCGATGTGTTAAATGGGTGATTGGTGTGATGTGTTAAATGGGCGCTTGGTGCGATGTGTTAAATGGGTGCTTGGTGCGATGTGTTAAATGGGCGCTTGGTGTGATGTGTTAAATGGGTGCTAGGTGTGATGTATTAAATGGGTGCTAGGTGTGATGTGTTAAATGGGTGATTGGTGCGATGTGTTAAATGGGTGATTGGTGCGATGTGTTAAATGGGTGCTTGGTGCGATGTGTTAAATGGGTGATTGGTGCGATGTGTTAAATGGGTACTTGGTGCGATGTGTTAAATGGGTACTTGGTGCGATGTGTTAAATGGGTGATTGGTGTGATGTGTCAAATGGGTGCTAGGTGTGATGTGTTAAATGGGTGATTGGTGTGATGTGTCAAATGGGCGCTTGGTGTGATGTGTTAAATGGGCGCTTGGCGCGATGTGTAAAACAGAGCAGTACGTTATTATATTCATGTTATTATTTTACCCAGGAAAGTCTCATCGAGTCTCAAGGGTCCTGCCAATGTTTTGCACTAGAGGGCGATGTTGCTGCTGCTGCTGCTGCGTAATTCCAATCGAGTAATCTGCAGGTAACTTTTCAGCATTGAGAGACGTACGGCCGACGCCAGTTACATTGTATATATTTGCTTTTATAACTACAACCCAGAGGGCCCCCACGTGGCAGCGCACGGCGACACGCGCAGCCGTAGGAGTGCTCGATGCCATCACGTGCGCACGATCGGTCACGTTCAGGGACAAACCAGTTGTGCGGTGTCCACCCACACACAGATCAGCTGATGACTATGCATCAGCCCATGTGGTTTGGGATGCCACTTAATCCCTGCTGTGAATTTGATGCAGGCCACGGTTAACGATGCTCCCCCCCCCGCCCCACCCCGCACAGTTACTTATTAAATAAAGGACACGGCACGGCATCCCCACGCGTCTCGGGCCGTGTGAGCTGGAGTCCACACCAAGTGTGGTGCCTTGCCCCCATCCCGTAATATCCTTCAGCAGGCTGTTGGGGCTCGGGGCTGCTAGCCAACGCCTCTCGAGGCCTGGAACGGCGCGCGTGGCGGGTGGCGTTGGTCACAGCCTTTCCGTGCGTTTAGTTTGTCGCAGCCATCACTTGGAACGTCGCCCGCATATTGCATCGAACTCGGGGACCCGCCGGGGTTCATGGGGCGGCGGTGGCGTACCGGATAGAGTACTGCGCTTCCTCCTGCCCCCCAACACGCTATACACAACAGCAGAGGGGCTCTTCTCACGACAGATTTCACAACTCACGGAAATAACCACATCGACATGCTGCAATGCAATGGGCGGGTCTCTCACGGTTCTGTGCAAATAGCGGGGGGGGGAGGCGGGGGGGGCGATTGAATGGAGGTTGGGGCGGGAGGGTTCTGGATTTTTATTTCAGATCAGAAGGGATTGTCGGGTGAAATGCTACACAGGGCCTGAAGGAGACGAGACCACACATCGGCGGTGAGCGGCATTCGAATCGAACTTGGTGAACCTTTCGTTCGCAAACACTGCCTTCATGAAATATATTACCCGTGAAGTCTGGTCACGGACAAAGGTGGCCGCGCGTCATGACGGTCTTCATAGGCGCTAACAAACGTCGACAGGGTACATGGGGAATCTGTGTGTGCGAGCGCGTGTGCCAAGGAGGAGTGGTGGCACAGCGGTTAGCACGCTGCTCTGTGAACCGAGCAACCCAAGTGCGGTTCCCGAGAGATATCCGAACCGGTCTTGTTCCCCCCCCCCCCACCCTCTAGGTCGACTCGGCCTTAAATGAGTACCTTGCAAGTGGGGTGTGTTAACATCATCATTGGGCAGGCGAAGGCGACCGAGCTCGACCAGCCCAGCGGGGGGCGCCATGCGGCGCTATCACTTTGCTCGCTAACAGCGCTTGCCCCAACAGCCTGTGGAGCTCACACGGGGGCGAAAACTACTTCGCATTTGTCTTTGCACAGTACACTGAACGTTCCGCACACAATGGCGAGATGTTATCTAACCTCGCCTGGTATACAGGCGGTCGTGGGTTCAATCGCGACACCCCTGACGCCCGCCGTATAATTGGAGTTTGCGTGCATCTCTGACCCCTGGTCGCGTGGATCTTTCCCCGTGTCCTCCGACCGCGTCTAGAATCAACGTGCGTTCAGAGCGTGTGGCTGCAATAAATGTCCACGTGATGAGCCACTTCCAATTCGTCGACCTATCATTTGTGGCCAGGTCGCTTCTGAAAAACACGTTACATAAGCTCGGTCGGCCTTACCTAGTAAAATGAAAAAAGTTAACTTTAGCTGAGTTTCACACACACAGACAATCACTCTCACACTGGAAGGTGAATAGATTAAAAAAAAAAAACGTGCTCGCACAGGTGAGCAGTAAAAGCACGAGAGCACGGCGCAGTTTGGTTTCACACACAGACACCGAGTCTCGTACGGCGAAGGTGAACAGAGAGGCAACGTGCTCACGGCACGTGGGAAGTCCAAGTACGAGTGGATGAAGGTCTCGCGAGCCGCAAAGGCCCCCACTCTGGGAGGATGCTTATCAAAGTCGAGCGGGGGGGGGGGGGGGCTGTCCGAAGCGTGATGGGGTTAAATACACACGCACGGAATACGACTGCGATGTCGGAGGGAACGCACACGGGGCATGATCGGGCGGGGTGGGTGGGTGGGTGAGAAGGGGATACGTGGCACCGGAGCTAAGCCCGACC